CAAGAGCAGAGAGCTAAGAAGATTCATTCCCTATTCTCCCAGATCTATTCATTTGGCAAGTCTTCCTGGGGTATAAAGGACTGTAGAGAAGCCAACAATACAACAATACGGTGCTAGGAGCCACCGTCTTTCATAGGCTCAGGACTTCATCAGCTTAGGGTAAAGGCATCAAGACTACAGGCGATAGATTTTGTGTGTGTGTGTGTGTGTGTGTGTGTGTGTGTGTGTTACATATATTACATATTACACCCCAGCTGCTGGACTTGAATGGCTTCTACTAGAGAACAAAAGGTTCCTGTCTCCACTGTCATCCTCCCTCCCAAATGCCATTATTGACTCTCACCTAGCTTCAAGGTAATAGGAAAATAATTTCAGATAAGATAATTAAGAGTAACTAAAATGACTAGATTCTCTAGGGACTGACACCTCCTAAAAGAGATTGTAAGCACTGAAATGATCTCAGAAGTCAGGTAACAAATTATTTTAAATGAATCTCAGATTGCCTAATCTTACTTAGGTCCCTAATGTAGCTATTTCTTGGAGAGATATCTTAAAGGATGAAACAACAAAAATCACAAACTCCTGTATGTCTTGTTTTAACTTTACCCCAATTCAGCGAAGTTTCCCTTGCTGCTAAGAAGTAGTGAGAAAGTGCTCCACAGCCTAAGACCTTACACACTGAAGCAGTGTAGACTGTACTCCTTGGGCTAAGACCTTACACAGGTGGTACCTGAAGCCCCACCTAATCAACTAAAACCTAGCCCAAACACTTATCTAGGGACTGGTACAAAGATGACAATTGTTCCTTTGCTTCAGTTCATTGCTAGGATTTGCATGCTCATGTCTCTTCTCTTCAACCCTCCATGCTGAAGCCATTTGTTTTAAATGAATTCATATGACATTTCTTTAGGTCTTGCTAGGAACACAGCCAATGAAAGGGCCATTATTTTTATTGTTTCTTTCAATGATTGCCCTCTTTGTAAAAACAGCTCTTGCTGAAATAAATGTGGGAAGGATCAAAGAAACTAAAGGATAAAGGTAATCACACCAAGACCAGGAAAGCTGAGTGCAGCACAAACCCAATCTCTATTTCCAGATCCTTTCAAAATACCATGGCGTGTGACAGCGTATGAACAAAATATTCTGATAAAAACTTATAATTCGGTCCTTATATCCACTTGTTTTCTGTTCTAGAAAAGATTTGAGGCCTGTAATGATTGATGTTGTGAGATAATTGTTCTGTGATGAGCTAAATAAAGGAAAGGCTTGGGTGAGAGTATTTCTAGCTTAATACGTGTGCGAGTCTAGTTCAGTTTAGTTTAATCTGCGTCTGTGATTCATGTTGTGTTTTTGTGTGCACTTGGCTGCTATGACATTGGTGTTGTATAGCAGAATCGTTTTTAAATTTCACTCTAAGGTGGATAGAAATCCCAATATCCAAATTTCAGCTGGAACAAAGACCAGCCTTTCCTTTGTGAAGCACATAAACATGATTTTGTAAAAAGTAATGTTTACCGATTTTCATAATTTTGTCACGATTCTATGCTGGTCAATTTCAGAGATGCAGCAAGTTGACAGCTTTAATTTTATGTGGAATAAGTTTTGTAGAAGTCATTATTTGCATATATGTGTACACAGATTATCAGGGAACCAATGCAGAGAGTCACTGTACACAAAACACTATGGATTTGGGTCCTAATTTCTTTTTATTGCAAATTCATAAACATGGAAACATGAAGAGTTACATCTTTGCATTGTCTGCTTACATGAAGTTATATTCTCATCTGTATAGCCTTGCTTTGTCTTCTGTCAAGACTCTTCTTTCCCAAGAGGCTCCCTTTTTTTTTTTTTCATTTACAGCCTTTCTTCTCCCGGGGTGGCTGCCTTCCTCCCTTTGCTCCAAAAAATTACTGCATACCCATTAATGCCACCCCCACCATATTTTCATGTGATCTTATTCTCTCCCACCTAAACTGGAGAGGCATTTCCACCACTTGGATGATGTAGTGGTTGTCAGACGGCAGGAGAGTCATAGAAACTAATACAATGAGTGAGTATATGAATTGGAGTGAGTCCATCAAAGGACCCAGAAGACCTACTGGAAATCATAAACCTAGTGCATTTGAATTATACTTATACCTGACATTTGGTGTTGGCCAGCAGTAGCAATGATTTTGAAAATAGACACATCCATTATATATAAGAGTGCACACATTTACACCATTTTTCCTACCTTTTCGCTCTCCAGGTGTGAGAAATGGATCAAATTTGTTCTGGAGACCTTTGTTAATATCTCTACTTATGGGTATAGACATTTTGTCTACATCAATGTCTATGCACCATGTATATGCCATGGAAGTGAGAAAATGGCATCCTGTCCCTTGGGACTGGAGTCACAGATGGTTGTGACTCCATGTGGGTGCCGAGAATAGAACCGGGTCCTCTAGAAGAGCAGCCAGTGCTCTTAACCACCAAGTCATCTTTCCAGGCCCATTTGTCAATATCTCAAAGTATGATTTATTGCTAAATTTTCTTTTGTCACTTTTCTGGTTACGGTAAAGACCTAAATATATTTTCTTTAAGACGATTAAACAATTGTTAGATTAAACATAGTTGCAAGTTTGAGATTTAATAATCCAGTTTGTATTGCAAATAAGAATCATCAGTGATAAGCTGAATGACGTTCTAGATATTTATGCATGTAAGCCATGTTTAAGATCAAACACACACACACACACACACACACACACACACACACACACACACACACACACACATTGCATTAATTATTCTTTGAAGGTGATACTCCCAGGAGGAAAAAATTAAAACTGTCCCTTCCGTTTTTCCCTTTCAACTTGTTTAAATACTCTTTGGTGTCAACAAAGAATCATTTCTATCAGGAATGAAAAGGAATGGAAAGAAATAATTATCAAAGAACCACATTGCATAAATTGTGCAGAACGGTTAAGATCATTGGTCAAGAATATTTCCCATCTATTATCTTATTATGAAAGGAGACCATTATGAATGAATTTAGTTTATTTTTCAACAGTTCATAAGGTGATGATATCTGCAATAGTGCACCATGAAAGAAATCACTGTAATCTTTAACAGGTCCTTCTCCTGCTTTTATATTGCTATTTGTTTATCTCAACTATATACAATGCAAGTGGTTGGTACTCAGTTAAAGCTTACAAATGGCTTCAATCTGTATTTTATTTTGAATAGTTTTTAAATTCAGTGACTCAATTGACCTAACCAACCATCCCTTAAATCAATGGTTCTCAACCTGTGGGTCATGACCCTTCGGGGGTTGAAGGACCCTTTCACAGGGGTCTCCTAAGACCATTGGAAAACACAGATATTTACATTATAAATATGTTCAGAACAGTAGCAAAATCACAAATATGAGATAGTAACAAAAATAATTTTATGGTCAAGGGTCACCACAAAACTAGGAACTATAATAAAGGGTCACAGCATTAGGAAGGTTGAGAACCACTGCCTTAAATGTTACAATTTTTTAGACAAGAAAAACTCAATCCTCTAGAAGGTCACAAATGTAAGTACAACATACTTCGTAAATCTATCTTTTCTTTCCTTATTAAAGTAGTAGGAGAAGGAGGGAGGGAGAAAGGGAGAAAGAGAGAGAGAGAGACAAACATAGACACAGACAGACACAGGCACACAAGACACACAGAGAGGATAAATGCTTCCTTGCTTTATAAGTTTTACAGTATCACAGGAAAATAAATGTGATATAATTATGTTAACATAACAAGATATATGTTCTATGTATATGATAAGAGTTGAAATCATATTAGTCACAATTTGCCTTCATTTTTGTGTATGTAGTCATTTCTATAAGACTTGTGAATTTTTTGATGAAATACCAAGATGCAGATATATACCAAAAGATATAAAGCTTCAGTATTAATTCAAGTGTTATTTTATAATTTGAGCTGCTAGTAATCTAACTCTTGTATTTTTTTTTTTTGGAAAAATTAAATGCAACCAAATATATTGACAGTTTGAAGCAAACACTATGCCAGAATATGTCTATACTTAAATCAGCACTTTATACATGTCAAGAATGTGGATTATTGATATTTTTAGGTTTCAGTCTGTTTGTCATTTAATAAAGATTTGTAATGGCGGTCACAATGTGCTGTGTTGTTATGTAAAGAGAAATGAATATGATCCCTATAAAGTTAAAACACGTGATTTTTTTCTATTTTAATTCTAACTGGCCCTATGACATTTGAGAAGGTCATTTAATTTCTCAGTGTTTCACATTGGGGTAGGTATAACAATACCTCTATTTTCCCTTGCTCAGCTCCTAACGTCATGGGGCGATTCAAGCAGACAACATAGGTAAAAATGCTTTGTAGTTTGCCCTTTAACACGACATTGGTGATGACATATGTCTAAGGTGATTATTATTTGTTGACCTAACACAATATCCTCTAATAAAAAAAAATATTTGGACATCATTACAATTAACGAAGGCACCATGTCTACTCCCAGAAGAGGTGCATTCTGATTTATGAGCAAGAATTAAAAAATTCAGCGAACTACCAAAAGCAAACAAAGGAATTATCCAGCAATGTTTGCCTTTCTGCTCCAGTAGAAGCTTTAGAGTAATACCCGTGTGTTTTCGTTGCATAACTATGGGTCTTCACCTACAGGATAGTTCTAAAATTTCTGTCCTACCAGACCCCAGATATCCCTGTATGCTCATGAGCTTCGGGTTTATTTGCAACCCTCTTAACAAAGTGATCACAACTTAATGAGCGAGGCTAGCTCAGGCTACAGGCACTCAGAGAGTGGGATTCACGGGCCACTCGGTCCACAAGGATATACTGCATTGCTTGGTTCCCCCTTTGAGGAGGTGTCATTTTAAACTTAGAACCTCTTGAGCGAACAGAGAAGATGTCTCTGAAAGCCAGAAACTGTTGCCATAGCATTTTCCATCTCTGTTCCTGCCTACCCTCCTTCTCCAAGGCAGGAACAATCTGAGCTCTGTCGCTTTCTGTTGCGAGCAGATAGATGTCTCTCCAGGATCCAGGGTTCCAGTACATACTGACTGTACCTCGTGGGAGGGTTTAGTAAGTCCGAGGGTGGCATTAAGTTTCCTAGGACAGACTCATCTTTGCAGATACCATTGCAGAACAGAAAACAGACCTAGAGAGACATTTCCTCCCACACACCATCCCAATTCCATTGGTCCTTAAGGCAGCCAAATTACAAGTCCTGAAACACAGCCTCGTCATTTCCAGCACTCTCGGCATGGACAGCTCCTGCATTCTGGGCGCTTCCTCTGCAGTGAGCCGCGGGAGAGCCACAGCTCCGGGTGCAGCACGCGACTGACCCGCGCGCGCTCGCTCCTCCCTGTCCGCGCTCTCCCCCACCCCGCCTTAGCTCACTCTACCGGGCACTTTGAGGGATTTCCTCCTGGGGCGGCCTTTGCAGCAGCAACACATCTGCCTGGTTGGTGGCAACTGCGAGCATGGATCTCCGAGGAAGAGACCTTCTCAGTGGAGACAGACTTCGGATTCTCCTGATGCTCTTCCGTGAGTAGCGTCTGGGGACCAGGAATGCGGGTTGCACTCTGCAGAGAATCCAATCCACAGAGTAAACCTAGTAGCTTTAGGTTTAAAACTGGCCTTTATGTGTTGTGGTTATTTGGGGTTGGCGGTGGGGATGACCCATCCGTGTCAGAGAACTCCCCGAGAGCCACACACCTGTGTGGCATCACCCAGACAGAGCGTGCTACACAGACCATACTCATGATGGGGAGGGGAGGTCATGGCATTGGCAGGAAAGATTAACCCCCCAAGTGTGTTTTTTAAAGCCCAGTCGTATTGTAAGTAAGAATTTAATTTTGTTTTAGATCCTGTTTTCATTATAAATCAGAGGCAGTGAATCTGAATTTGGTAACGCTGAGTTAGAGAAATGGCTTGCGGAGCACACAGCTTCGAGCTGGGAACTTTGCCACTCCAAAGCCCGCAGAGAACTGTCTCCGGTGTCCTAAAGCCGCGGGCTAGTTGGGATTGCTTTGCTTGCTCCGCAGATGCAATGGCCCAAACCGTGGCAGAACAAGAAGTGGAAAATCTTTCGGGCCTTTCCACGAACCCCGGGAAAGACATATTTGTGGTGCGGGAAAATGGGACGACGTGTCTCATGGCAGAGTTTGCAGCCAAATTTATTGTACCTTATGATGTGTGGGCCAACAATTACGTGGATGTAAGGAACCTTTTTCCTCCCCAGCTTGCCCCTAGGGCTGCAGGGCCGAAGGGCACCCTCCCTTCAGGCCCTGCCAAGACCTCAGTTGCCCGCCTCTTCCCCCCAAATCCCTGCAGGCTGTTCCCGAATGCTGCATGGGGGTTCCAGCTTGCAACGCCTTCTGCTCGCCCTGCCTGCTTTAAAAGTAAACCCCCTCTCTACTCCCCTCCTGGAGGGGTGTGCACGTAAGAGTCTACCCGCATGTTACTGGACCCCCGGAGCGCGCGTGCACAGGAGCGCCCAAACCTGCAAGCTAGAGTTTGGACGCGCAGCCCTTCCCGATCTGCGCCAGGGCCCCACGCGCTGAGGGGGCGCGGGGCGTGTGTGTTCCCAGCTGATCACAGAACAGGCTGAGATCGCCTTGACCCGGGGAGCTGAGGTGAATGGCCGCTGTGGCCACAACGAGTCGGAGCTGCAGGTGTTCTGGGTAGATCGCGCCTACACACTCAAAATGCTATTTGTAAAGGTAATTCGGTGCGGTGGACGCAGAGGAATGGTTAAGCCCGCGTGGGTGAGCGCGGTAGTGGCCTCTGGGGTTGTCTATTATAAAGCAGTTGGAGCGGTTCACAGGAGCCTCCCCATCTTGGCAGGAAAGTCACAACACTTCCAAAGGACCAGAGGCGACTTGGAGGCTGAGCAAGGTGCAGTTTGTCTATGATACCTTAGAGAAGACTCACTTTAAAGACCCAGTGAGTGGTAAGTAGTCCAGTGGGGCTGGGAAAGCTTGGGCACAGGAGCAAGAGCAAGCCAGAAACATGCATCCTGTCTCTGGGTTTTGGGAACAGCTCTGGGATTTGTGCACTGAGTACAAACCTGGCCAGGGCCTGCTTGCTCTCCAGGGTCAAAGAGGTGGGAGGGTCTCTGTGTCCCTAGGGAAAGCCTGGGCCCCAAATCCTTCAGAATCAAGCTGAAACATGACATTGCCATGGAAGGGGCACCAATGAGTTTTGCTATTTTTTTTTTCTGCATCACGGATTGGTTTGCTCTCATGTATTAAAAAAATGCAAGAAGACACTGCGACAGGGTTGGGTGGGCTGCAGGATCTTTCTGTGCACAACGGCATAGCTCTCGGGCTTTAACTGCAGCCACCTCAGGGCAGGTTTTGTATCTTGTATCTTAATTCATTAGCTTTTCCCACTTAGCCTCACCCTGGTCTTCCAAAAACAATCGAAGGAGAAGGGCACCCACACCTGAAATAAAAACATGCCTATCAGCAAGCACTATCAAAGACCAGAAATACATTTAAACGTATTTTAAAATAAAAGCAAAATTCACTGTCTCAATCATAAGAAGGCCTATCACCACTCAAGCTCTGCGTTGGAAAGGGATTTTACTGAGGTTGCAAAAGAGTGCTCTTTATGTTTTGATAATTGCAGTAAAACAATTATTTTTTTCCTTTCACCAAAATAATCTAGAGTTTTTCATAGGATGAGAGGAGAAAGAGAAGGAACGAGAAAGAATAGCAAGCACGAGAAAGGAGAAAAATGGAATGCGAACTGTGGAGAGCTGCACCACTGTTCTGTCTTTGGAATTACTGACTGAGGCTTTAGTCAAAAGGGCTGTGTTTTCAGAAAGCACACTTCTTCCAAAATAGAATTCCAAATTAGTATCTAGTGAGGACAGTCTCAAAAAGAATGGGGAGTTAGTTGGACCTTCACCCCCACTTGGTGTCTTTGCTGGAGCTCCAGCCCTAGGACTGCAGCACCGATAGGGGAGGCATAGGTTCTGGGCTTAGCAGAGATCTCCCTGGGCTGGGAGCAGTGAGGCCACATCCAGCCCAACTGCTACTTTGGTTCCCCCGCAGCTGGGAAGCACACGGCCAACTCTCATCACCTCGCTGCCTTGGTAACCCCAGCCGGGATGTCCTATGAATGTCAGGCTCAGCAGTCCATTTCTCTGGCCTCCAGTGATCCGCAGAAAACTGTCACCATGATTCTGTCCGCAGTGCACATCCAACCCTTTGACATCATCTCTGATTTCGTCTTCAGTGAAGGTAGGTTACACTGGTGTTAGGAAAGGGAGAGGGGCTGGCTTTAAAGATGGGCTCCCAGGATGTTTTCACCTGCGTTTCTTCTATGCTGCAAAGGCAATTTTCACAAGATGTAGAGGTTATAAAGTGAATGTGTCAACTTTCTGCAATACCCACCCTGCCCACCCCCCTCACTTCTTTATTCTCTTACTCGCTCCTATGGGAGAAATTATTTCAAGGCAGTTTGATACTCTGATTATTTCCCATGGGCAGATTCTAGCTTGTTTTAACTTTCTACTGGGTTGGGGATTGCCAAGTGAATATAAGGAATTGTTTAAATGATCATAATATTGGAAGATTCCCATTTGAGTCACCCGCCACCATTTCCCAAGCTATTTTTTATTCACCCAAACGAAGCTTCCTCTCACCCTATACCCAACAGAATGCCTCACCACCCCTAAATAATTATCCCCAGAGCATTTGAGAATTCTGAAGGTAAATTTTCCTTGAGAGAAAGGCCTGACTCTTTTGTGTACCTCTTCCTCCTTCTCTCTTCTTTTCCTCTCCCTACCTCACCTCCACCTGCTCTCTCACTCTCTTTCCTTCTAGCTTTCTGTGGTGCTCTTGGATAGAATTCAGACCCCCATCTTAATGCTTTTCCATTGTGCTGCATTCTAGGATCCAGGCCAGTTATTCATCTTGGCATTGGTTATTATTCATTTTGGCTTTATTAACATCTAACATAGTACTAGATCAGTTTAGGTGTCCAGGTAACTGACTAAATAATATCTTGATATGCAGTTACAGAGACTTTCATATGTGCCTATTTTAGGAGTAGAAACTAAGATCGAGGGGTCAGGATCCCAAAGTTTTAAATATTTACTTATTATTGGAGCATTTATAAAATGCAGCAGTGAGTGTCTTTCTTGAGATGAAATAGTACATTTAATATGATACATTATGGTTATTGAAGACCCAGGAACTCGTTATGAGAATTCTGGACCATGTAGTATCTATCCTTCCACAGAGTTGTCATTACAAGCCCATTTGAGTTCCAGTGGGAACCTTTAGTGGTGTTCAGTGGCCTTGGCTGTCTGCTGGCTAATTATTATTAACTCTCCCTTGTTTCTTGGCACTTCTGGTGTTACAATTGCTGATTTTACTAGTTCTTCGCCACTATGCCACTCAAATAAATACATTCTGGGTCATTTCTAGGTTGTTGATCGTTATCTATGGACTGAGAAATCACACCTGGTATATGTTTAAGTTTATTTGTATACACAAACAACTACTGAGTAAAGAGTAAAGCTCTTGACTGTAAATCGGTGAAATTCATTGCATAGAATTAGGTACATATTTTGTTTAAAAACAATTATTATCCATTTCATTTGTAGATGGGGAAAATTACTAGGCACACATGGAGACTTTAAGCACACATAATTTCCTAAATATAGACAGAATAGGCAAAGACAATTTGCAGTATTACCCAGGCATTTCAGGCTGGTAATTAGGATAGTCTCCCTGTGTAGTGCCCCAGGCTCAGGCTTTAGTGCTCCTGGGAGGAGGCAGGCATCATTCAGAATCACTCACTGGATCTTGCACCTTTGTGTGGAAGACGTTCTTTTGTTCCTGGCGCCTCCTGCCTATGCTTCCCAGCATCTGGCCACAAATGTCTTGGGAGAGATTGTTGTATTCCATTTAAAGGAATTGGAAAGCTTCCTTTTGGATTGCCCTTTCAGGTTCCAGCACTGGGCTCCTAGGAGCTTCCAGTGTGTTTTATATGTCTACGTGTGTGTGTGAGTGGACTGCATTTGCTAGAGGGGACAATGTTTGGTCATATATCTACACAACCACTATGGTGGTTGTATGCACTTTCAGGTGTGTGTGTGTGTGTGTGTGTGTGTGTGTGTGTGTGTGTGTGTGTGTGTGTGTGTGTGTTTGAAAATGGCCAGGGCTTTGTTGTGAAAAGTCCATTTCTTGCATCAGGAGGTTTTTACCTGATGGTCTTCACAGCTGCCTATTTAGTTGATTATAGGAGATAAGCAAAGAAGGATCAGTGAAATGGGTAAGAGGACAGTCACTGGGGCTGAGAGCAGCCAGATGAGGGTTGACATCTTCATCACACATGTCCACTTAAATGCATTGGACAGCTACAGAACTGATCTTAATCACCAGCATAGCCTAATTTTAATGCACACAGGCATTTTTGAATGGCAGTGAACATAGTTGTGATATTAATATGCAGAGTCTGCTTCTTGTAGACCCTGAGGTGGGGCCCCATATGCTAAGCTCCTGGTGATGCTGCTGATTTACAGAATCCTATAGAGGGCTGGAAGGATAAGAGGCTGAGACATATAACAAACTTTGGTGGGTGGAGATGGATGAGGTTGTAGGAGATGGGAAGCTCCTTGGTTAACCCCATCTAGAGGGAGAGCTCACCATGTGAAGATCAGCATCCATCCGGAGAGGAGAGGGGAGGAGGATGAGACTTCCTTGAGGAAAGAGGGCTGGCCATGTGTCTAGTGGCAGCAGTGTAAGGAGTAGGACCATGCATAGCAGTGACTGGCCATATGAGGGGATACAGGCAAATGCTTTAGTTAAACCAGAAAAATTTGAATGCATTGCAGTTCATGAATGTCTAAACCTAAGCCAACTTTTAATGCTATTTAAAGCAGTTAGATCAATCTTTACCTGTTTTGAGTGGTAGATGTCACACTGTGAGATGTACTGGTAACATGGACTATAAAATGGTATAAGTAATATTGGTAATGCATTAGAAATGATGATGTCCAAAACAAGTTTTGAAAGATATTTTTTTTTTGTAATTCAAAAAGTTTAGAATGTGAAATTAAATAGTTTCTGGACTTATGCTGGTGAAGTCCTGAAATGTAAGCAGTTCTCAGGATATTTTTCTGAAAATATTGGAGCTCATTGTAGTTTTTATTTTATTGCTGCTTATATATTTGATTATGATTTAATATGGTCCACCCATTTCAATGTACTATAGTTTTGTTACTCAAATTACTCAACTATTAAGAGATTGTGTGTGATTAAATGCACAATTGCCTTCTAAAAAGGGATTGATCATGCATTCATTGAAATGGCATTTCTGTGGGTCTGAAGGATAGCAACTGTTATATGTCTTGGTAAAAAATTAACAGTAAGCAATCAAAAACATGAGTGAGGAGGGTTTGGGGTCCCTCTGTGTGACATCCTGTAGAGGCTGCCATGGCTTGGAGCTGTATAAGAAAAAGGTCCTCCCTTATCAATGGGAAGCAGCTGTGGGGTGAGAGTTCAAGGACTATACAAAGCAAGCAGGCTCTAAATGGCTAAACATTTGCCTACATGGATTGTTTTAAAAATGATTGAGTTTGTAAAAATTTGAGTTTGGTGCCAGCAGGCTTTTGAGCTAAAGGGTCTCAGCCTGCAGGGAAGAAATAAACAACCAGTGGAGAGGGTACCTTTGGCTCATTTGTATACCAAACACACTTTTTATATCACTGTCACCTGCTGTTCAAAGCACCCCGTGTTTCTCAGTTGGGGTTAATTAACTTGTCCTTCTGCAATTAATTCACAGTATAACCCCTTGAGGGTCTGGGGTATTTCTGGCTGATGGGATAGGAGATTCTTCACTGGGAGGGAATGGATCATCCTGAGTATTTTAATGGTTTGAATGAAAGGAAAATTTGACATGCAATGTCAGGAAAACATAATAGATTATGAAGTTTGTCTCTGGTCTCCTTTATTAGAGACCCAAATTTATAGATATTTAAAACAGGTCACAAGAAAACTGGCCCCTTTTTAATTTTCAGGGGGAAAACAGTCAAACAAAAGACACAAAGGTCCCCATGTACACAGAGTATCAGAGGTCCAGAGAACCCTGAATTCACAAGCATTTATACTTTGGTTTTTGCTTGTTTATTTATTTTCAATTTTTGGTACTGGAAATTGAGCCCAGAGACACTCTAGACAAATGCTCTACCCTGCAACTCTACGCCACTGACCCTCTGAACTTTTTATCATTTCCCCAACAACTGGACCAGGGGCTGCTGCCTGTGGGGGCTAATGCTATATTGGAGATGACACTTTCACTTTTCTATATATCACCCTCCCAAAGAAAAACTTGGCAAAATGCCTTCTTATAAGCACTTCGAAAGTCTGCAGATTCCAGACCTTTTAGACTTGTGTCTGACATGTTATTTCCCAATGTGGCCTTGCTCTCATGGATTACCTGTTTGCAAGTACCTCTGGAGGAAGCAGCCAACAGGAAGTGATTCCAGAGAACATCACTGAGAACTGTGTTGAAGTCTTCTGTGTGGAGACTGTGCACAGGGCCATGCAATCTGTCATGGAGTTCTGTATTCCAGGCAATGTTCTCTGGAGCTAAGGTGGGGCATGCCTTCGAGTTGCCCACTAAGGGGGCAGAGGAAATCTGGTATTTACCCACTAATGCCATCCATGACTGACAGCTGCTTTGAGGACATCTATTGTCTGGAATTTATAGCCTGCCTTATAGTTAAAGCCCATTGGAAGTGGTGAAGGCCGAGGGGAGAATAGATGGATCATGTGCATGTCTGCTATACTTAGGGATGGGATTTATATACCTTCCCTGCTGTGGGAGAGCACACAGTCTAGTGAGAAATGGTATATGCAGCACACACCACATTCCCAGCACGAGGATCCTGCTAATGATCATACTCACATTATTTTTCATCTATAATACATAAATCTTGATGAACCTGCCATTCGAGGTCACAGTTTCTCAGTGAACAAAGATAGAGTGTAGAGGCAGCCCACACACAACGTGAAAGAGGACCAAGCCCTGTCTCTAGCGACACTGTCAGACAAGAGAGGGATACCCAGCTACCCAAAGTCAACCCTGATATTTGTTCAGAAACAGTCTGGAAGTTAGGAGAGCCCCAGGCAGACAGTTTGGCACTTTGCCTATCCTACTACTGCTCGGCTGGGGCACAATGAAGAGTATAATGTTCTCAAGGAATGAATACAGATTTAAAATGCAACACAACAAACAAAGGCCATACCCACCAATCAGAACCTGATTTGGGGGCACATTGTTGAGGGGGGGGGCTCTAATTGACTGTTGTAGCTGGCATCAGATAGGCTCTGTGTTGTCTGGTCTGTTTCCCAAATCACTGAGCTGCTATTCACGTTTTCTTGTCGTGGGTCACACATTCAGTCCTGCATTTTGTATGCTCTAAAGTCTAGTCCAGTCAGAGTATGAGGGATCCCAAATCCTGTGAGGTGGACAGAGATGCAGGGTCCTGGGCCATGTGGAGCCAGATGTAATTTGGGCTAAGCCAAGGGACTCTTTCTTCCTTTATGAGGGAGCTAAGGCCAATCTTGCTCTGTGATCTCTGAGTTAATAATCAGATTACTGCACAGGAATTTAACTCAGCAGCACACAGGGGTTGTGGATAGTGAGTTTCTGATTATGTGTGTGTAAAATTCAATGGGAAAAACTGTATTGCTTTCATTAACCTATGAGCAGTATTTAGAGCATTAAACATTTCTTTTGGTTATAAATGAAGGTCATAAAAACAGTGCTATTAGCAGTAGTTGTCTTTGTCACCAATAGAAACCAATGTTTTTCTACTCACAGAAGTCTGTGCAGGTCTTGTAGAATAACACTGATAATTTTCACAACTTTGTAATTATAGCCAGCGTGCATGTGTCAATCACAGGCAGCATGCATATGTCAGTAAAGAAACACATACGTTGCTGAATCTCAAATTAATAAAAATACTTGGATAGATGAATTTTGATTGTCTTTGCAGCCTTCCATGCATTTTATTTTTTGTATCCATAAGCACTGTTCTGAATAGATGCCCACAGTTTCATCAAACATGCTTTAATGACTCATAAGCAGCACCATTTTTTTAAGTGATGAGAACAGAAAAAATTATGTGTTAGCATTTTATTACTGAAACAAAATACCCAAGACAATCTACTATTTCGAGACATGGTCTGACTATGTAGCACAGGCTGGCCCCAGAAATGCATATATTCTTTTTTCTTTGCCTCCTAAGGGCTAGGATTACATGTCTAAGCTACGATGCTGGCCCTCCCATGATGTTTTTTGGCATCTCTGTAGCTTGATATTGTCTCATATTCCCCTTTCTTGTGGCTTTACTTTAGGTTTCCCCTAAAGTAACAAAGAACACATGTTTGAGAAACTGCAATAGCATCCCAGCCTCTTTGCCTCCTTCGCTCTCCCTGTGCCTTCCCTGTGCTGCAGTTACACTGCTGAGTCCATCCATTTCTTTCCAGTGGGGTTTCCTTTACCCCCGGCACAATACTTAGCCCCTTGGTGCCTCCATTGCTTCATGTATAAAAAGTACAATAATGTTATTTTCCTTGTGCAGTTGTTATGTCACTAGATGAGAGATCACCTTTGTGTTTAAAACGGAATGTTAATTTATGGATCATGCCAATGCATACCTTTAATCCCAGGAGGCTGAGGCGACAGGATTATGAGTTCAAGGACAGCCTGACATACCAAATGAGGCCATCTTTAAAGAAAGCGGAAAAACTTAGGACTCAGGAAAGTTTTGAAAAGCTGTATACTGGAGTGTAAATTCCCAATTATTCAAGAGGAATAGTTTCTGGGACTCAGGAGACTTCTCTGCTCTTTCTGATTGTCCTGTGTATAGTGGGAAGATTCTAGAAGAGCCTACCATATAGTAGTGACCCAGTAAATGCTGGTGCATCCCGACTTGAAACCTCAGTCCTCTGAAAGAGATATTAAAAGCTGAGTTTCTGTGCATCCGACTCATCAATATGGTGAAAAGATTCCCAGTTATCTAAAAGGTGTAACTATCAGAAGCTTAGAATTTCCCATTCCCCTCCTTCTCTTTTTCTCCTTCTCTCCCTCCCTCCTCATGTCCCCCCCCCCCCCCCCTTTTTCTAGGTAGCACTGGATACACAGGGCTATTACATTATTTTGGATTTTAAGAAAGTGAAAATATGACCCAGTTGTGAAGTATTGCTGACATGTTCTCTCTCAGTCTAAATGCCAGCTACGTGGATTGTTCAAATGTAAATATTTATCAAGGTGTGCTTCATTTAAAATTATAGTCCAATCTGAGTGTATTAAATGTTCAGCCTTTAAAATGTGTAATGAAGTTTAAAATGTCATGTTTAAAGTGAAGAACAGTTGAAGGTACATAATTTAATACATTTTTACATATACTTGAAACCCAGAAATTAAGTTACAAGCCATTCTCATGAGAACCAAAAGCTCTCTTGAGTTCTTTTTCCTGTGTGTGAACACATTTCTATTTTCTAGGACCATGGAATTCATTTTACCTGTTCAAGAACTTCATAGAAACAGGGATAACACAATCTGTACTTTTTTTGTGTCAATTTTTATTCAACATAAGGATTCTGAAATTCACTCATTTTGTAACTTGCTGCCATATTTCATTCATCTTTATTGTTGACTAATATTCTACTTTATGAATAGACTGCAGTTTATTCCATTTTGATAAACATTTTGATCATTTACAGATTGAACTTTTCTCCATAGTGTCTATGGATATTTTCATTTCAGTCTCATCATGTCCATATGTTTTCATTTTTCTTGGGATGGTATAGAAAAGTAGTGCTGGATTCTAAGGCAAGTGTGCATTTTTCTTTGCTAGGAATCACCAGACTGGTGAATGCTTCAGCAATTTATCAGTTTAACCAGATTGTCTAACAGTTTCCCTTTTAACAGTTTGTTTTCAGCAAGTGCTGAGCTCCACATGTTCTAGTCATTGCCAATACTTGTTATTTTCAGTCTTCTTGAACATTTTTTGTTTATAAGTAATCTTGTGTATGCTAGATATTAATTAAAAGTTAAAAATGGAAATTAAAATGTAGTGGCTATATCTAATTCCAAAACATTAGAAATTTAAATGAATTATTCAAGTAAATTTAAAATTGAATGAATTACCCGGATATTTTGATGACTGCCAGGAATCCAATAACTGAATATGGTCTTGCTAAACTGATATATACTTACTTGATATTATGTAGAAATATTAAGACTAAGTGAAAGAAAAAGATGACCTGTCAATCTACAAAGGCTTTCCTGAGAGATTATTTCATCTCTGCTTCTTTCCTGCTTTTGCTAGGAGGGCCTAGGATTCAGAGTATTTTCACTAGAGCTCACTGCTTTTTTTCTTTCTCATTTCAGAGCATAAATGTCCAGTGGATGAGCGAGAGCAATTGGAAGAGACCTTGCCCCTGATTCTAGGTCTCATCTTGGGCCTTGTCATTGTGATAACACTTGTGATCTACCACATCCACCATAAAATGACTGCCAACCAGGTGCAGATCCCCAGAGACCGATCCCAGTATAAGCACATGGGCTAAGGACCATTAGGCAGACAGCCTCCAGGTCCTGCTCCCCAAAACTGGATCATTTGGAACAACAATGGCACTTCTCACCTGTACACAGGATACACCAACATAGCTACACTCCAACAGGCCTGGGCACCTGAGTCTTGCCTGGCCTGTGTCCATGCTTAAACCCAGGCATGGTGGGCAGGTCTTGGGATTTGTGGGTTGAATGGTGACTATTGTGTCCATGCTGGGGAGGAAGTGGGGGTGGGTGGGTTGGGTAATAGACAGCTTTCATGCTCATGGTAGCTTAGTTTTGAATCTCTGACTTTGTAAGTCTACATCACCCAGAAAGGAAGAGGTGGCCCTTATATTTAGAAACTGGAAACCCTTCATTTGGGAGATCTCTATTTGCTCCCTTGGCCTCAGCTGGTTTACTTACATGGTTTTCTTTTCTGTCTTTCTTTTTATTTAATAGGAAACTTTTTAAATTTTTTCTCTCATATATATTACATCCCTACTGCAGTTTCCCCTCCCTCCTTTCTTCCCAGTGTACCCCGCCCCACCATCCACTCTTCTACCAGGGATACTAAATAAACATAGCATATCAAGTTGCAATAAGACTAGGCACCTCCCATTATATTTAGACTGAATGAGGCAACCCAGTGGGAGGAAAAGTGTCACAAAAGTAGGCAAAAGGTCAGACAGCTTCCATGTCCACTGTTAGGGGTTCCACAAGAAGATCAAGCTACACAACTGTAACATATATGCAGAGAGCCTAGGTCAGACCCATGCAGGTCCCTGATGGTTGGTTCAGTCTCTGTGAGCCCCTATGAGCCCAGGTTAGCTGTTTCTGTGTTTTTTCTTGTGATGTCATGACTCCTCTGGCTCCTTCAATCCTTCCTTTCCCTCTTCTGCAGGATTCCACAAGCTCCACCTAATGTTTGGCTGTGGGTCTCTGCATCTGTTTTCATCAGTTGATGGATACAGCCTCTCTGATGATGATTAATCTAGGCTCCTGTCTAAAAGTATAGTAGAATATTATTAGGAATCACTTCATTGATTTTTTTTTGCCTATCATGTCTAGTTCTATCCTAGGTGTCTGGGCTACCCAGCCTCTGGTTCCTGGCCCTTCAGGCAATGTCAGGGTTGGACTCCCTCTTGTGGCATGGGTCTCAAGCCAGACTGGACATTGGTTGGCCACCTTTACCACAGCACCTCTTGTAGGCAGGACAAATTGTAGGTTGAAGGTTTTGAGCCTGGGTTGAACTTACATGGTTTCCAATGCACACAAAATGCAACCTCATACTCCCTGCAGCAAGATCCCTGAACGATCCATGCTTCTGGCTGGCACTCTGCATGTCTAGTGGTTGTTTGGGAATGTTTCACTGCTACCTGCATCCAGTGACTTTGCAGCACAAGAATCCGTCTAATGTCACTATGCACAGTTGTTTGGAATTCATAATATGTCAGGTCCAAGTGAGGGGACCTAAAGAATCAATCCATGTGAGTTTGCTTTTGAAAACGAATTAAAAAAACAACAACACTATACTCTGGTCTTTGGCTGTTTTTTTTTTTTTTTTTTGAAATAAGAAAATAAAACTACAATGGTTTAGTAACCAGAGAAGCAGATTGGATTAAAATGTATATTTTTTAATTTGCAAGAGGATAAACAAAGATGGAGCAAGAATGAAATGAAGAGAATGTTGGTTTTCTCTAGCTGTCTTAGGGTTTTTATTGTTATGAAGAGACACCATGGCCAAGGCAACTTTTATAAAGGAAAACATTTAATTGGGGCTGGTTTACAGTTCAGAGGTTTAGTCCATTGTATAGTTAGACTTTTTTTCTTTGGGCCACCAACCAGTTCCCAAATAAAGACACAGAGACTTCTTATTAATTATGAATGCTCAGCCTTAGCTTAGGCTTGTCCCACTAGCTCTTTAAACTTAATTCAACCTATTTCTATTCATCTACATTTTTCCTCAGGGCTTCTTACTTTTATTTCATTCTACATGTCTTACTTTCCTATTTCCTCTGTGTCTGTCTGTTTGTCTGGCCCCTGGTGTCTCCCTGGCATCTCCTTTTCTTTCTTCTCTGAGACTGAATTCTTCTTCTTAGTTACTCTTGCTGCCCAGAAGTACCACCTACACCTCCTTCCTCACTATTGACTATTCAGATTTTTATTGGACCAATCAGGTGCCTTGGACAGGCAAGGTAAAACAGCAACACATCTTTACACAATTAAACAAATGTAACATACCTTTACATAGTTAAACAATTGCAACACATCTTTGCATAGTTAAATAAATATTCCACAACATTTCCCCCTCTTTGTCTAAATAAAAAGAAAGGTTTTAGCTTTAACATAGTAAGACAATATACATTAAGAACAATTATCAGTTAAAAATTACATTTACAATATTCAGTCCATTTGCATTTGACAAATTCAGAGAAAATATTCCATTAAATATCCTATCTTCGTGAGTCCAAAGTTATGTACCTGATTTACTTTTATCCTAACTTGTATTTCCAACCCAAAATTATCTTTTTAGACTTCAAAACATTTTCTTAGATAAACAATTTAAACTTTTATGTTTCTCACCCTTATAAACTTTACATCTCTTATGTAAGTTTCTTTTCTGAATTTGGTATAACTATAACTATCTCATCTTCAACTCTGTCAGAGACTTGAGTAGAATATAATATTACCTGAGTGAATAAACAGGAAGTATAGAACAAGCAACTTCCAAGACTATAGAAATGACAAAGACATAAAGCTGCCTGGACAGTCACCTGAGGTTCCTCTGCAACTTTGAGGCATCCATCTTCAGCCTACAGGCCTAGAATATCTGACAGACTTTTCTGTGAAGCAGGAATTTTGAAGGACTGTCCCACCTTGTCTTGGCAAAGTTTGGCAGTCTTTATTCTTTATGTCCTGTGTGTCCAGTTTGTACAGTAAACTGTCAGCAGTCAAGTTAAGGGAAGTTTCTTTCACAAATGACTAGCTTTGCCACAATGAAAGCAAACTCCAAATGGAGGTTCTTTCATGCTCATCATCCTTTTTTGAAGTAGATTGGTACTGTCAGAAACAGACATTTCTCACTGTCATGAAAAGCCTTAGCTTATTAAATACCTTAAGTGTCATATTCCATAGGTTTCTGAAGCATTTGAAGATTACCTGTCTATCTAAAATATATCTATTTAACCTTGAAAACATACCTAGTATGACTACAAGTTTGATTGTTATAGATGACTAACTACTAAACTGCATTTCTTAATTATCCTAAACAGTTTGTAATAATAGCTTTCAAAGTTTAGAACTTTATATTACATTTTTAAATGAGCTGCATAGGTACAATATCTTAAACGAGTAGAAACATATATACAATATAACAAAAATAACCTTAAATTTGTATCAATATACAAAAATCCACATCAATGTAAAATATTTGAGATGAATAGTTGTCTTTTTATCCTATATCCCTATATTCTCACTAAATAATGACAAGCATCCATAAATGACCAAAAACCACCCACCCCACTTCTTGGGAATATGTGTTGTGTTCTCTAGATTGCTCAGTGTTGTCTGGGGGTTACAGTATCCCAAGGGGACCTTGAGAAAATTGAGATAATGATCAAGTCCTAAGAAAACTAGCTTTATCTTTTGTTGTGCAGTCTCTGTGTAATGGAAAAGTACAAGGCTTATCTGAAGTCCTGGCTAGAGTAGTCTGTGAGGCTGGACCATCTCAGCCAGCAGCCTTGAAGTTGTTCTGAATTCAGAACTCTAAGGAAACTACAACAGAAACTGTATTCTGAAAGACTGGATCACCTGTGGTGTCTGGTCCCTTTGCTCTGAAAACATAAATTTCTAAAAGTAACATACATATCTGCATTAACACAAGTATGGACTGTGCATTGTACACAAGCCAGACAAAGATGATTTTTTGTTTTATGTTTGAGCAGGTAAAAGACATCTGTCAACTTTGTAAGTTTTTTTGGACTGTATAACCAAACCTCTATCTATGACACATGAAAGGATGCATGTAATAATAAGTCAGAAGGACTCTGTAACCAACAAGAGTTATCATGTCTCATCTAGTCTGAGTTGTTCCCATGTCAAGAGATCAGCATATATGTCACCTGTCTTGTAGTTTTTCTAGGTTTATTCCTTTATGTCTGTAGCCAAGATTTTGAGGGGGTCTCCCCTAATCAAATATGATCTCTATTAATTTTGAAGGAATCCATATCTTTCCATTTCCTGTGGGAACAAATTTTCTGAATTCCATTTTAAAGTTAAGACATCCTTAAAGTATCTAGGCTGATTTAATTCAGCAGTTTCTTTTACAATCCCATGTCTCTCAGCAGCTGCTGTTCACTCATCAGCATTCAAAAAACTCAAAGTCAATCAAGCACCATACACGATCCAAACTCCCCGTGCATTTCCCATCTTTATGTGGCTTATTCTTTTTATATTACTTTACTCTTTCTTTAAAGACTCTACTTAATTATTTTTAAACTACTTATTTTTTCCTATGACTGTCTACATCCATTTTCTTTTCTTTCTTAAGCACCTATGTACACTATAATCTGTTTAAGGTTTTTTTCAGTCTGCTCTTGTTTTACTGTGCACCTGCAGCATTCTCTGACCACATGAGCCAAACATTAAACTGTTAAGTGGCAGCTAGGCCCTCTGCCACGCGATTCTGGCAGTTGGCTCTGCTCCCTTCTTGGGTCCATGAGAGCTGAACCTTAAGCTCACAGGCCTGTCTGAGTGCTGCATTTAACTGGGAGCTGTGTTTAACCAAGAGCTGCATTGAACTGCCTCAGATTTAGGAAGTTGATGCCCACACTGTGGCAGGCATTTTTACTTAGTTTGCTGTTTCTACTTGGTGTGCCAGCTGCTCAAGTTGGCACACCAGCTGAATAGCAGCTTCTCTTGCCGGAGCCACATCCGTTTATTTGTATTTTTTCTTCAGCTTTCTCAGGCCCTGTCAGAAAATTTGATCCCCACATTGGGCACCATTTGTAGTTGTAATTTTTTCTTTGGGCCACCAACCAGCTTCCAAATAAAGACACAGAGACTTAATATTAATTATGAATTCCTGACCTTAGATTAGACTTGTCCAAATAGCTCTTTTAACTTAATTTAACCTGTTTCTATTCATCTACATTTTGCCTTGGAGCTTTCTTCATTCTATATGTCTTACTTTCCTGCTTCCTCCATTTCTGTCTGTCTGACCTGTGGCGTCTCCCTAGTGTTACTTTTTCTTTCTTCCCCAAGTCTAAATTCATCCACCTACTTACTCTTCCTGTGCAGAAGTCCCACTTATACCTCCTCCCTCACTATTGGCCATTCAGCTTTTTGTTAGACCAATCAGTTGCCTTAGACAGGCAAAGTAAAACAACATCACATCTTTACATAATTAAACAAATGCAACACATTCTTACATAATTAAACAATTGCAGCACACCTTTGCATAGTTAAACAAATATTCTGCAATGCCATTGTCATCTTGGTGGGAAGCTGACATGGTGCTGGAGAAGGATCTGAGAGTTCTACATCTGGATCCACAGGCAGAAAGAAAATAAAATAACACTGGACCTGGCTTGAGCATTTGAAACGTCAAAGCCTACCTCCAGTGACACACTTCCTCCAACAAGGCCACACCTACTCCAACAGGGTTGCACCTCCTAATTCTGCTCCCTAATCATTCAAATATATGAGCCTATGGGGGTCAATCTTATTCAAGCCACCACAATAACAGTGATAAATACCTAAATACAAACACATTATAGAGAGGAAAGGTTTATTTTGGTTCAAATATGAAAGGCTTCAGTCCTTGGTTACAGTGGAACCATGATGGCACAGTATGAACCTAGAGCAGAGGATGTCTCTTCATCTCATACAGCTGGAAAGCAAATAGAGGGATACAGGCAGGGGTGTGGCCAGGTGTAAGAAGCTCTTTGGTTTCTTGTTCAAAATTCTTTCCTAACTGAAGCAGTTTGGATGCTGAGTATCCCCTGATTGTCATGGATTTTCCTTAAAAATCAGATCTGCAAGGTGTTACTTCCACCCTGCTTTCTCCTCCTTCACTGATTCCTGCCACACAACCTAAATTTTTGGGTCCCAGAAAGGGCTCATCAGCATAGCACAGGTCTCTTTAGTACTCTTTATCACTTCTACCCTACCAGCTGTAGGAAACAGCAAACTTCCACTTTCATTTCATCCTCCTCTTTTTCTTACTTTTCCTACCAAATCAGAACCTAAGGCAGAGGGCAGCATCCATATATATTTTTCCCTTATATGCCTCTTCCTGGGGAGAAGCTGAGCCTCGGTTGTATGACTTATAGTCCACAGCAAATGCCATATAAACAATGTATAATGCATAACAGTACATGCAGGTGTTTTCTCAATGACATTCTTTTACTAGGCTCTACTTCCTAATGGTTCCACCACCTCCCAGTAGCACCATGGCCTAGGACCATATCTTCAACCCATGGGTCTTTGGGGGATGTTTAAGATGCAAATCCATCGTATCCAGGGAAAAC